AGCGCTGACAAACAGGAGAAACACGGTGATACAGTCAGAATATGAATTGATACTGAATCCATTTACCATGGATTTACTGTACGGTTAGCCTAGTAATATCAACTGCACCATTAAATGTGGGATATACATATTGAATTGTATTATATTATTAATGTAGAGAATGTTTTAAATGACTAATGGAATATAATTACAGTATTTAATAATGTATTTAGGCTACTTTTTTCATACAAATACCATAGAAACCATAAAGTTACATTTTGCCATGATAGTGAGGTGCTATAGGCTATGCCTGGCTTTATCTGTGGTTATCATGATCTAAATGCATGATGCTGGATGACCATAGGTTCATTTTAATAAAACTCAGAATATTACATTTTACCAAATAAAATTTAACAGAGGTTACTGTTTTTGTTAATGAACATAAATTTAACATAGTAGTATTAGCTTGAGTTAGGATGCAAATTTACTGTCTACTCACTGTCAAATATGCGTTTCGAGACAAACATGTAATATTAATATTGCAGCCTGCACTGCAAACTGTGCTGAAGATACGTGCCATCAAAGTCAGGCAACACAAACCTGTTTCAAGTAGGGATGGGCATGATTAATCGACGATCGATAATTGATCGTTAAGGATTTCGTCGATCCCGTTAATTTGTTATCGATTATCGAATGATTTTTTTTTTTTTTTTTATAAATCTGATGCAGGTTGCGTTTCGTAGTGTGAGTCTTGATGCAATTAAATGAATTTCACTGTGTGGCAGCAATTAAACATTTTACCACCCGGGGGCAATATTTGACACCATATAGGCTACTCGGTTATCTGTGATCTTCCGTTTTAATTTCAAAACAATAATCATGAAGAGGTCACGGCGAAGTGTGGCGTGGGACCATTTTGATTTAAAAAGCGAAATAGTTCACTGCAAACATTGCGATGCTGTGTATAAGTACAACACGTCCACGACTCAAATGATGTACCACTTAAACAAAGTGCATCCGTCCCTGGTTAATGTCGGTGGCGGTGCATCCTGCTCTCAGTCTCAACCTAGCATCAAGTCGGCGTTAGCTCGGACTCGGAGCTGTGATGCACAACGAGCAGAGAAAATTACCCAAGGGATCTGCAAGTTCATTGAGATGGATATTCTGCCCTTAAGTATTGTTGAGGGCAATGGTTTTCGAGAACTGATACATTTTTTAGAACCAGCATATCAAATTCCATCACGACGTACCATCACCAGACTGGTAGAAACTCGCTACGAAGAACGAAAGCAGCAGCTGTTAAAAGAATTGAGCAAAGCTGAGAGAGTTGCTCTAACTACAGACTGCTGGACCGCTTTAACAACTGAGAGCTACATCACCATAACCTGCCACTACATTAGTGATGACTGGCAAATGATCTCAGCGGTCCTGCTCACAGAAAGTCTGCCAGGCCGGCATACAGCTGACCACCTCGCTGAGAAAATGAATGGAGCGGTAGAGCAGTGGGGACTTGAAGGCCGAGTTATTGCATGCGTTCATGACAACGCGGCCAATATTGTAGCTGCCAACAGTCACACCAGAGTGCCCTGGATTTCCGTTGCCTGCTTTGCACACACCCTCCAGTTGGCCATAAATGACGGATTTGCACTGTATCTTTATCGGGTAATATCAGCGGCTAGTAAACTCGTTAGCCACTTTAATCACAGCACTGCAGCAACCAAAGCGCTGCAAAAGAAACAGGAGCAAATGGGCCTCGCAACTCACCGGCTTACCCAGTCGTGTAAAACACGGTGGAACTCCGTGTGCGAGATGTTTGATCGGCTGGTGGAGCAGCGGTGGGCTGTTGTTGCTGTGCTGTCGGACCGAACCGTGACCAAGCTTCAAGATGCCAGGATCCTGGAGTTGAAGGACGAGTACTGGCAGCTGATGGAGGACACACAGCCCGTACTGTCAGCACTTAAATGTGCCACCACGGTTATGTCTGCAGAGAAAGACGTCTCCATCTCGAACACTTATCCCGTCACCTTCGGCCTCATCAATATCCACCTCATGCGCAGTGAAGGAGACGGGCCCAGACTCATCGAGTTCAAGACAAAAGTGCGTTCCTCTCTCATCCAACGAATGAATGTAAGCTACATCTTTTTATCTTAGTTTACACATAATTACATGGATACTTTCCTGTTATCTGCGTTGTTTTAACTATTTAGATTTAAGCAATAAGCCCCGCGAAGAATAAAACTGTTACTCCATAAAAATATTTATTTTAATATTTATTTTATTCATAAAAAAGAAGTTATTATAACACATTTATTCGTTAATTCGTTACCTATTCAGATTTAAGCAATAAGCCCCGTGAAGAATAAAACTGTTACTCCATAAAAATATTAATTTTAATATTTATTTTATTCATAAAAAAGAAGTTATTATAACACATTTATTCGTTAATTCGTTACCTATTTAGATTTAAACAATAAGCCCCGCGAAGAATAAAACTGTTACTCCATAAAAATATTTATTTTAATATTTATTTTATTCATAAAAAAGAAGTTATTATAACACATTTATTCGTTAATTCGTTACCTATTTAGATTTAAACAATAAGCCCCGCGAAGAATAAAACTGTTACTCTTACTCCATAAAATATTCATTTTAATATTTTTTATTCATAAAATAAACAACAAAAATATAACAACATTTATTCGTTTATTCGTTACCTATTTAGATTTAATCAACAAGCCCCGCAAAGAATAAAACTGTTACTCCATAAGAATAATCATTTTAATATTTCGTTTTGTAAAAAGCATTTTTTTCCTGATTATTGATTTCCCATCATATATTTATACAGATTGAGTCTGATGAGTTTGTGTCATTCGCCCCCATGATCTCATCAATGCTGGACCCTCGTCACAAGCACCTGGGCTTTCTTACACCAGCACAGAGACTGGCTGCTAATGTGAAACTGGTTGAACTGGGAGAGGCGGTGGGGAGTCAGGGGACCGATAGGGCGGCTATCCCACAGGCTGGGGCGGTCGAGGCTGCGTTGTCTGACACGGACGAGGGGAGCGCTAACACTGAAGTCACGACCTCCCAGTCATCTGCTATGGCACAACTCCTTGGGGATCACTATAGTAGGCCTACTACTACTCAATGCGAGGCAAGCATCGAAGCAGAACTTCAGAACTTTCTGAGGGAGACTCCCCCACCGCTGAATTGCACACCTACAGACTGGTGGAAAGTGAACGAATTAAGATTCCCCGGGCTGGCCAAGTTAGCGCGGAGCTACCTGTGCATCCCGGCAACATCAGTCCCCGCAGAGCGGGTGTTTTCGGCTGCAGGACTGACGGTCACCAGGTTGCGGTCGCGTCTGACCCCAGATCATGTCAACATGTTAATATTTCTCAACAAAAATCAGTAGACTGGTGCAGAATTTGTATGCGAGTTACTAACGTTAGTTATTTTTCACGAGGCTTTAAGTAGCCTAATTTGTTAAGTTAGCCTAATTGTTAGGAAGGCTATCTCATCCTCTTTCTTCTGGCTTGGATAGTTTTGAGTTACATTTTGACAAAACCTGTCAGATCTAAGTATTATTATGTTTTTTTGGTTAAGTTATTGTTTAACATGATTTTTCATTATTATTATTTTAGAACAAATGAGGTCTCGGTTTAAGAACGCCGGCTCGCAGTTGCAGGTTCCGCTGCTTTAGAGCACCGCATATGCACGCGCATATATGTTCATTTTGCCTGACTGAACGTAGTTTAACTGTCTTCCACAAGTTGATTTTGCAATAAAGGTCTCATCGAGGAAAAACACGCTGTATTTTTGTTTTCATTGCATTTTTGAATTATAAAAGTTAAATAATTAATTTTATTATAAAAAATATTAATGATTAATCGATAGTCGATCGTTAATTCTCCCGACGATCGACTAAGAAAATTTAATCGAATGCCCATCCCTAGTTTCAAGACTTAAAAATATATCCCCCATTAGCACATGCAGAAACTAAGAAATATATTTTTTTTATTCAGATATTTATTTAAGGAAAAATGACAAATGATGTTTTACCTTAGATTTGTGAAATGTTCACCTGTTTGGCAAGTGTTTGTCATGATATGTTCTGACAATAAAGAGTAGTTTAAAACCACCAATTAACGCTCTGGTTTCTACAACTTTCACTTAGGAGCAAAAATCTGCCTTTAAACTTGAAAGAAATAAAGATTTGACATTTATCGTGATAATTATCGATATCGACTGATATAAAAAAAATTATCATGATAATTTTTTTTGGCCATATCGCCCAGCCCTAACAGCACTGTTATTTAATTTGTATCTTTGTCCCATTGCATTTATTTGTGCTATTGCTTGTAGTTTGTTTATTTGTTATCTGGCTGTATATTTGTCTTTAATAATGTCTGAACTTTATATTAGTTAGCCAAACCAAAAATTGCACAGTGCTGCTAATTATAATTTATTTGTTAGGTTTTGTTATAAAACTTGGTTAAATGATTTCAGTGTGTAGCAGTACTTTTTGAACATTTTCCAGCACATTTTAACTGATATTAACTGATTACTATGATTATTTTGGCCACTATAATCGTGATATGAAATTTTTATACCGTTTCATCTCTAATATATATATATATATATATATATATATATATATATATATATATATATATATATATATATATATATATATATATATATATATATATATATATACACACAAAATTGTTTTGATTTCAGCTTTATGTCAATTACCAAAAACACATTTTAATGGTTTTAGTTAACAGCACTGGTCACAACCCATATGGTTTCCAGGTCTGTTCTGTAATGCAACTAAATGCGATTTCCATATCTTTTGTTGTTAATATCAAAGACTAATAATATTATAATACTTTGTCACAACTTCGTCTGTAATTTAGTACAAAGTAACCATATTATATTAAATATAAATACTTAAAAAATATATTATTAAACAGATTGGGTCAACGTACCAATACGCTTGAATGTGTGTGTCGTACCTTAAATCGCTTATCCTGAAGTACCTTCTTGATGGCCACCCACTCCTGACTGTCAATGAGGCGTGCCTGGTACACCACGCCAAAGGAGCCATTACCGATCACCTTGATATCAGTATAGGACACCTCCTGCGGGCGATCCGGGCCCTGGCCTGGGGTGGCAACCACTGTGGTCACCTTCCCACTATCTCCTAAAAAAACACATTTGAGACATTAGATTTGATTAATCAAAGCTGAGGTGCTTCCTGCAAATGAGCAAATATTAGCCAATACAGTCTTGCAGCAACTACATTAATTCAAAAAGCCATTCTCTAAATATACATATATTCCTACCTACTTGGCATATTCAGGGTGTATTGGTTAATAAAATATTAAGAAAACATTTTAATTAAAAAAGTAAATTACAGAAAACATCACTCACTGCAAAGTGTCAAGTGGTATAAAAGCTGTAGACTGATATGCATATTTGGACAGAAACATAACCAAACCTTGTGCATGTGTACTTAGTAAAAAGTGTAAAAAAAAAAACAGTGTATTTGTCATTGTAAAGGAAACATATTTCACTAAATACGGGCCTGTCCTGCCTGTGTCCTTCACACAGGACATTATGACAGTGGGCGTGTCGGGACAGGTAGTTAGTTAGTTGCCTATCTGAACAATCACTGTAATGAAAGAGCCTTGAACTGGTTGTCAACCATTTATTCTCAAGTTGATGATAGTGTTTTAAAGCCTAGTGTGCAGCCTATTTAGATAACATTATCCACATGTTACCAATGCATATACACTACAAAATACTGACTAGGCTACTGCAATGTTTTTGGGCATAGTATTGCCATGGTATTTATTTTCTTCCTCTGGTAGCACCATGGTTTACCAAGTACAATGTAAATATCAATGCACATGAATATGGAAATCAGTACCATGTTATATCAAAGTACCCATGGTATTAGCATCACTGTACCATGGTAACGCAACAGGACTTCGTGTTAATGTCCCAAAAGGCTGTCTACACACCTCAAAAGGTTTTGAGGCCAAGTCAATAGCTCTCGTTTATAATAACTTAACTCAGAATTTTGCCAATTTTCCTTGGCTAGCATGGGCTAGTTTCGTGGAGATGACATAACAGTCAATATCAAGAAAGCATGGGTGTGTTATTTAATTATACAAGCGATATGTTCATTAAACACTCATAACTGAGATAACTTCGCGTATATACTCACTGGCTAGTTTTAAATTTGAGCAAGCCGATGAACTATCCGCCGAGGCCTGTGAGACCCCGGACTTTCCTGCGTTGCTCCCCACGACAGCGGTGGTTCCGGCGGATGCTGCAGCGGCTCCGGACGCCCCCTGAGGCTCAGCGAACGAGCTCGTCCTGGGCCGCCCGCTGCCGCTCATATCTGACTGAAAGTTTGCCGAGGCTGGGAGGCGATGATCAGCTGTTCCCTCGACGACTTGTCCTGGTGCTGGGTGAAACATTCAGTTAAAAACGAAAAGATGACAAACGTTTTGCCGCGACCCTCAGCGTTCACCCACTCTCTCACGCGCTGAGAATACGCGCAGCCTCATGGGGAATGCAGTTCGAGCGCACTCACTGTTGCCAACTATTTTCTAAGGAAAGTAGCTAACGCCTTCCCTAAAAGTCGCTAAATGTCGCTAGATGACGTCATACGCTAATTAGCATATTCATGACGTCATCGCGTCGTACTTGCGTTCTGCCATGCCTAATGTGTTTTCTCTCTAAATTCATGCTCACATTCTGTATTTTAATATAATATAATATGAATGTCCAATAAAGCTGTTCTCATTACCTATATTATTTTTGTCAGACAGTAGAACAAGTAGGCTAACTATGATATAGGCTAGTGAATGACTAAATTTTTTTATATGTGTAAAATTATCTGAATTGAGAGAGTTCGGGAAATGGGTGAAAGCTCTGTGATAGTGAGTATTACAAGTAATAAGCACAAGAAAAGAACGGAATTAAAATGGTCAAACAAAACTCTTTAAAAATAAAACAAAAGAGAAGCTGATAGGCCTAAGTGACAAGTCCGTGAAAAAAAAAAAAAAAAAAAAAAAACTGGCGCGAGCTGTGCTGCTGCTCGTCTCAGCCATTCACTGAACAAGGTAGACGCCGTTAGAGAGAGAGAGACGGCCGGGAGAAGGCAAGACCTCGCGCTCGCAGTACTGGCAACATCTGGAGATTACTGACGTTTGTGTGAAAAGTCGCTAGATATGTCGCTAGTCGCTTTTTAAAAAAAATGTCGCTAAAGGGGTCTGAAAAGTCGCTAAAAATAGCGACAAAGTCGCTAAGTTGGCAACACTGAGCGCACTGTAGGCTCACTATATTGAAAAAATATATTAAAAAAACTGCAGGTGTCATACACCTGAGCAGAGGGGTCACTACCTGCATCTAACTTTATCATGCACAATTAGTTATTAGTGTATTATACACATAAAATAATCAACAAGAAAGAACTAAAAAAAAAAAACCATAGTCATAAAAATACATTAAAACTCTTATTAATAAAAAACTATTGTCTCTAATAAATAAGACAGATAAAGATAATAAATATCAAAACAGATTATAAAAATAACCTATATTATTCAGTGTATTCATTTATTTTGTGGATTTATCTTTATCTCTCTCTCTAGAGTATATATATATATATTTGAAATCTAATTAAAAATATATATTTATTCATGCATATTATATATAGAATATCATTTTAAAACACACACACACACATGTGAGTTAATAATAATTTAAAAAAAGAATCTGTATATAATTATGGATATTTAGTTACTGTTTTAAGATCTAATTTACAAACAGGACCAGAAAACATAGTGACAACATGAGCATCTAAAATTTCGAAACCATATTTATATACTACATCACTTCGCTTCACAACCACAAAAGAACTGCACAAAAACCAAGCATTGTGTTAGGTCTTTAATTTTTTCAATAATCTCGTTTAGAAATATTGCACATGGTCAACATGCCTGTTGATGAGTTACACTCACCTTTCTCATTCTAAAACTCCTTCTCCAAAGTAACGACAGTTTATTGGATACACAATCATAAGGTGTACACGCATACATGTGCAGGTATGTGTGTGTGTGTGTGTGCAAGCATTTGTCTGTTGCTGGGGGAGGGAAAGAAAGGGCAGATAAGTCAAGTTAAGAATTGAGTTGGTCAGTAGCCAGCATATGCTAACAGTCTTTTGATGTAGTGCCACTGCTTTTCTGGCAGGGAAAATATGAATAGCATTTGCTTGGGAGTAAATTCGATTTGTCAAGGTGCATGTAATGTACGCACATACGCTCGCACACACACAGACATCTGTATATCATGGGACATATAGAAATATATAGGTATATTTATACATTTATATTGTCACACATTCAAGTGAAGACTGAGTAGCATTTTTATACTCATCACTCCTTCTCTTTCAGCAAAACCAGACGCAAGAAAGTGCTAGGTTACATTTTTTTTCATTTTTTTTTTTCAGATTTTAGTTTGTTCAGTTTGGATTTCTCTCTCGATACTCGCTTCTAAATTCTGAAATCTTTTCCCACTCTCTTTTCAACATATATATCATTTTATTACAGCTTGTACAGTGAAAATCTATGGCACTAACAGGTCACTCGTCTACTTCAAAAAAATTCCCACCCACGTCCTATTGCACCAATGAAAGAAGAGGCAGAGTAAGAAAGAGGAGATCCTGAGAAATGCCGCCCCAGCGCTGGTCTCGGGTCAGCTTTCCCTTGCGTAATCCTGAATCAAAGTCCTCGCAGGCTACAAAGCTTGCTCTGACTCCAGACCAGTGCTTAAAGTGGCGCTTTCCATCAACACTTCAGTTAAAAGTCTTAAGGAGATGAAAAAATAAGGACTTTCCTTACGGGGTTGCGGAAAGGGAGAATCGAACGCAATGGAACAAAGTCGTCGGTTAGTTTTTAAATATCTAAAAACAAATACTTTCCTGATTTAAATCATGGTCTAAGACCATATATTGTGCAAACACCTGATTGAAATATAAAAAAGAAAGAAAGAAACGAGGAAAAGAACACAGAGAGAGCCTCGTGCCCACCCTCTGCCCCCCTCCCCAGCCATCACGGTTTTATATATATATATATATATACAGTGTACAGGGAAAAGCCTAAGTCGGCGGCCAGAGAAGAGGAGCTTCAGCTAAGAGGCTAAAACACAGTCTTTTTTTTGTTTTCAACGTAATTTCTCCAACACTTAGATAGCTGGATTAGTCCATGCTGAAAATATTACTATAGTAATAATAATAAGAAGAAGAGAGGCGCAAGCTAATACAAAAAAAGATATCAGTCAGTTCCACCGTTACGACACAACAACAAAACGACAAAGCATATCTACACGTTGATTCAAAGAGGGGTAGTGTCTCTATTCATTTTCGTCTTCTTTTGTATGATTCTTCCGAGGTTAGGACAATGTTTTCCTCTCTCGCTGTGAGTGTGCTGTGTTGTTGTTGTTGTTGTTATGCGATTGTGGTGGTCGCTGTAGCCTCTGTTTTCTGCTCCGCTGGTCTACGTGATTACGAGTCTTGAGATTGTTGCTTCTGGGACAAAAAAAAAAAAACCTGTTGTGAATTTACAGCCCGTGCTGAAGAACAGTAACAGCCGATGCATGTACCCCGCCACGGGGTGTAACATTTGCACGAAGACCCTTCTCCTCCCCGGCTATTGCTTTCCTCGGTCTCGAAAAATGAAAGTGCGAGCGCATTTGTCCCCCGCCAACCACCCCCCACCCCATCCCCGTTTTGAATCGAAAGTTACCGGTACCTCAAACAGTCTAATTTCTCTTCTAAAACATCCAGTCCATTCGATAAAAATCTGTGCTAGCCCCATGCGGGGTGTTTACTGAGCATGTGCAGACAGGCTGGTTTGGTGCTGCCTGTGGTGCAGCATTGAAGGGCTCTAAAATTCTGACAGAAAGTGATGCCCGCCCTAATGCAGAGGTGGACCAATGACTGCCCCAACACCAGTGGCATATGCAAATGAGTGCGACCACGTGCGCTGTTTTGTAATAGTTCCTTGTGCAAGTCATTAATGTGTGAAAGTGATATTGTTATGTAATTGCATAACGTGTGTGAACATGTGCGTGTTTGCGTGTGTAACTGTGCATAACAACAGAACATCAACGAAGTGAACGCAATGGCAACGAAATCAGTTCGATTAGAAATGAAGCAGAATCCACATAAGTGCTGTACTGTCAGCGGAAATGGTTTTACACATTTCTACAATCCATCCCTACATTCATCTTTCATCCTTCCGTTCTTCATCTCGATTCCTGCGGATCGCCCGCGTCTTTCTTTGGCTCTTCCGTGGCCCTGGTCCTCTCTTCTGGCTCGGAATTCTCCCTGGGCGCTGGATTGGATGGTCCAGATGTAGAGGCGAAGTCAGAGCCGGCAAGAGCCACGCCTCCCACAATTTCAGAACTGCCGGCGGTCTGCATGATCTTCTGCCTTACCTCGCGAATCTTCAGCTGCAGGCACAGCTTGTTGGGAAACGTGTCAGAGTAGCGAGCTTGGAAGGCAGCTGTGGCTTGCGCTGTAACAGAAAAAATGAAATATGCATGCTAAGTTGCACCTTCCCAATGATGGCTGAGGAATTTTTGCAGTTGTTGTAATGTTAGCATAAAAAAAATATATATATATATATATATTAGGGCCGGGACTTTAAGGCGTTAATTAAGATTAATTAATTACACACTTTAACGCGTTAATTAATTACACAAAACATTATTTTTAATCGCACTTATTTTTGCACCGCGGAACGTTTCTCACTGGATGAGTTTCGGCGGACCGATTATACTGGCGCACCAACTAGCGTTCATGACGAAGAAGCTGACGAGATCGCTTTGGTTGGCCGGTGGCTGGGAAATGTTGTTACAAAAAACGAACGGATGGACGCGTCGATAAGAGCATGGTTGTGTGCAAGCTATGCAACAAGGAATTCGCTATTGCTATTAGTGTAGTGTAGCAATATGCTATTTTGTTGCAATATGCTATTGCTACACTTAATGGCTATTATGGCTATTAGTGTAGTGCTATTAGTGTAGTGTAGCAATATGCTATTTTGTTGCAATATGCTATTGCTACACTTAATGGCAAAAATTGCACTGGTCTGCTGGACTTGGTTGAACAAAAATAAACAATATTTTGTTGCTTAAGCTTATGTATGCAGTCATTATTCAATGGTATCCTAAAAATCCATGTGAAAAAAATTACTTCTCACAGTTCTCAGGTCAAATATTTATGCGATTAAAATGCGATTAATTAATTACAAAGCCTCTAATTAATTAGATTAATTTTTTTAATCGAGTCCCGGCCCTAATATATATATATATATATATATATATATGAATAGCATTGACTAACAAATCAGATATCTGTGAAATAGTCTACAGAAATAGCCTTTTTTTATTTTTTATAATTAATAGTCGAAACTGAAATGTAAATAATTTTTTCATAACATTACAATTATAAATGTACACAATCATTTTTATTGAGTGGTTTGAGTGGTTATTTTTCTAAAAAGTACACTACTGTTCAAAAGTTTGGAGATTTTTTTTATGCTTTTGAAAGAAAATATAGTAAAAACCAGGGCTGGGCATTGACACAAATTCCTCTATTCGATTACGATTCACAAGTTTGCGATTCGATACTGATTAATAGCGGCCTATCAGGTACAGTACATGGCAAATTTCCTCAAGGAAAAAATATCACTCAACTAATGGTGTAAACTATACAGGGAACCCCAGTTGGTACATTACTATAATATTAAAACGAACTGATTTTTATGCTACTTACATTTTGGTAAGTTGTACTGTATCTTTCAACATACCTTCTGATGTTCATTCATGTTTATTATACTGGGATATGTTGTAACTTGATGTTACCTGAGGGGAAGAAGCCGTGCTCCTGGAAGAGTTGCATGACGAGTGCACGCCGCTGGTCCAGCATCCGACGCAGAGAGGAGGGCGGCACGCGGTCCAACTCCTCCAAAATATGCTCCGTCTCTCCAACTGATAAACACAGAAGACAAGAAAACATGTATAAATAAATATCATTATGTATGGGATAATGAGAGTGAGTTTATACATGAAAATGAGCCCACCAGCCCTATCGAAGGTGAAGATGTCCCCTTCACACTTGGCAGCACTCTTGGGTGTGTTGGGCTCTGAGCTGCAGCTGGACAGGCGACGACTCTTCCTCCTTGGTGAACTGGGGTCGTCGGCCGAGTCTAGATCTAGGGAAGGGAAGAAAAGAGAAAGATCAAAAATCACACAAAAAAGCAAAAGTGAGGAAAACGGTACAATTAAAATAATGGCTTTATAAAAGAATTCTCATTCTAATTATAATTTGCTCTCACCTGTAGAGTTCCTCCTCTTCTTGCGGTAGCTGCCCAGTATGGCTCTAGGGGAAGTTGCTAGACTCTGTAGATTGGGAGAGGGCAGCACCTCTTCAGGCTTGAACTCCGGCAGCTCTTTAAGACGCTCTTCAAAAGTGGAGCCAAACAGCGTCCTGAGAAAGAGCAAATATATATTTTTTAGAAAATGAAATATAATGATGAATATGACATACCAGCAGGGAAATAATGTACATCACATATACAGTAGTTCTTCAATGAGGTGAGCAGAACTGCAGGGACAAGCCTACCAATGACTACCATTTTGGCGTAAATGAAAAGAATAAGGTTTTTTTTAAACATAAGTGCAAACAAATGTGTCACAATGCATAGGCTTAAACGGTCTGCAACAGTCAGTTTTCCCTTCCAGGTCAAATATTGTCATGGCTGAGCAAACGTTTGAGGAGAATCTTGAAGTGTGAAGTTAGTAAACTGTCAACATGGCAATGGCACATATATTTGAAGGTCTATTGAACCCTTGAGTACTAAGGTGAGTTAATAGTACAGTATCGCAAGGATGTACGTTAAGTATGTATACTGGACCACATGTTTGCAATTCACTGGCCAAGAATTTACTGCATATTATGTTTTTGGCCACCCAGTGATACAATTAATAATGTTCATGCCAATGGCTTCGACCAGTGTTGTAATTGTTAAATAAATTAAAACATATGAAACATAAAAAATAAATAGATTAATAACTAAAAATAAACAAAAAATACAACTGTTTTCTAGGCAACTACCTGAAATAAAACCAGTTTAAAGGGTTAGTTCACCCAAAAATGAAAATGTTGTCATTAATTACTCACGTCGTTCCAAACCCGTAAGCCATTTTGTTCATCTTCGGAACACAAATGAAGATATTTTTGATGAAATCTGAGAGATTTCTCTATCTCCATTGACAGCTATAATGCAACAGACACTTTGGCGCTTCAAAAAGTTCATAAAGAGATCGTAAAACCATATGAATAGAGCGGTTTAGTCAAAACTTTGGTTGGTTGACGTTGGTTCTCGCACGTCAAGCGAACATGCTTGAGCTTCCGTTTACCATATCTGATGTGTGCATTGATGAATATTTATGTGAAATTCATCCTGTTCATCATATAAAGCGATTTCAGAAAATCTTGACTAAACAGCTCAATTCATATGGATTAGTTTTATGATCTCTTTATGAACTTTATGAAGCGTCAGTGTCAGTTGTGTAGCTGTCAATGGAGGGACAGAAAGCTCTCAGATTTCAGCAAAAAGATCTTCATTTGTGTTCCGAAGATGAACGAAAGTCTTGTGGGTTTGGAACGACATGAGGGTGAGTGAGTAATGACAGAATTTTTCATTTTTGGGTTAACGATCCCTTTAAGTCAAAGTCAAAATTCCTAAAACTTAAACTAATAAACATAAAAGGCCATTTAAAATATTAATAAATACTATTATAGTATATAAATAATAAAATGACACTGCTAGTCTAGTCAACGTGTAATCTAGGGCAAAGCCACTCACTTGTCACCAGCATCAGCAGTGCTTTTCAGTGGAGGTGGGCGGAACTTGGCCTTTTTAGCTGAAGGAGTGTCAGTCTGCAAAGGCGGTGGCGGGGGGTCCAAAACAGAAGATTCCCTGCGCCCTGACTGAAAGAAAAAATTGATTTTGATCAATGGAGAACATGGTGATTCGATCTTGCACAATGAAGTTTTGTATGAGAACTGTTTAAATTGATCAAAGTTGGATTGTACAGCTAAAAAAAGCATCTTACTTCTCGACTCTCGTCTTTGTTGTTGGTCTCAGCTTGAGTCTCCGTCTCCCCGTCCATTGCTCTTGCTGTTTCAACTCTCTCTGTTTGAGACAGGCCCCCTCCCACATCTCTCGCATACTCTCGCTCCATTTTGCTCCCTTTCTTTCCGTCCTCCTTCCCTTCGCAATGCTGACCTGTTGAACATTTTGAATTTGACTTTGAGAGACTGCAAACCCATTCTGTATGAGACAAATGCTTGATCAATATTTAATAACAACTGCTGTTAAAGACGTCGAAAAGGCCAAAATATACTTTTGAAGCATCTTTTGAAGCTTATATTATGGTGACAGTATTAAAATGTAATTCTTCAAGTCACTTTTGATAAATTGAATGTGCCCTTGCTGAATAAAAGTATTATTAAAAGTGTATAAAAGTATTCAAAGTATTATTTGTAAGAAAACTGACCCCAAACTTTTGAATGAAAGTCTCACAATAAAGTATTTTTGGTGAAAATTCAGTATTTTTAATCTACTGAAATTAATATGTTAAACTAAAAAAATGAAAGAGTATTTTGAAATTTGGTAAAACTTTTTTTTTACTACTGTACAACTGAAGTTTATGATGTTACTTTTACCTTTATGTTTGTGTGATGTACAGATGGGTTGCACCGATTCCTCCAAACCACTAGGTGGCGCCTGATGTCCATCCTTTGACACCACCAGGTCTCTCTGTTTCTCCATCTCTTTCCTAGATTCTGCTCCTCTTTCGTTTTCCATTTGCATGTTTACCTGAGACTGCAGCTGCGCATCTGTCTGCGTGTGTGGTTGCGCAGCCACGGCTGAGGAGGTCTTCGCTTGAGGCGTTGAGGATGATGCCGGAACTGATGTGGAACTTGGTGTGCTTTGTGGCACGGCTGTCACTGACACAACTCCTCCGGCTAAGCTGGGGTAAATGGCGGTCACAAGTTGACGGGTGGCTGTCGAGGCTTGTGCAGGTTGTGACAATCCGCTCGGGGGTGGGCACTGAGCCAGGAGGGGTGGCTGACCTGTGGTAGAAATTTGATAATGTTTGTCATACAGTCTTAAATATGTGTTGGTGATTTAAAGAACTGTCAGCTATTATACATCGGTCCGAAGTCAAACTCCAACAGTTAATGTTATTCCCCATACCCCTTTATAACGCCAGGGGACGTAACATACTTACTTGCAACAATAGGCTGAACCAAGGCCTGACCAGCTGGGGCAATTGCAGTGAAGCCAAGAGTCGCCACTGGAGATGGACCCACAGGTGACGGGGTCTGCTGGGTGGAAGAGACTGCAGGTGTAGAACCCAATGGCAAAGGAGTCGCAACTCCAGGAGTGGACTGGACATATGTGATCCTGAACAACAAAAGCACAGCAGAAAGTTAGGTTTTCCCAAGTAAAGCATGTACCTGGATCTTTTTTAACAATCCTGTCAAAGGAGCAAACGCCTTACCCTAACTACCCCTAAAGTCAGAGGATGAACGACTGAAAAAAAGGAATAAAAGTATTCACTTTTACACCGTTTCTAAGTTGAGTTTTAGACACAGCTTTTGTGTTTTGACCAAAAAAAAATTCTTTAAATGCAGTCATTCATTCTTCACGTCAAATTGAAAAATGTTAGTTCATTTTACACGGACTGAACTGGCACATAATTTTAGTAAATGACAAATTGCAAGGGACATGATTATATATATATGAATTATATTATATATATATATATATATATATATATACATTTTTACTGCATTTTAATAGAGTAAATCATGCATTAAGAGCATGCACACAGTAGTCTAACTTAAACTGAAAAGGCAACATCACAGTGAATGCACTCTCTACGTGTGTTTTTGTCTGGCTTTTGCAAAGTGAGGGACATACTGTACTTGATAATGTCAGATTGCACATCGTTAAAACAACAATTACAACATTATTGTAGATATTGTTGTGTATATATATATGTATGTATGTATGTATAGCACACCCCTAATTACATATTTAATAAGAAAAAAATACAAATCAATTATAAAGACTACAGAAGATTTTTTGTTAACTATGTTATTTTTTTTAACAGTGTGTTTTAATTAAAATTATTTAAATATTGTCACATTATACGTCTTTTTTGTCTCATCTTCATTATCACTGACGAAAATAAAACTTTGTCAACTAACATATTAGTCAGTAATTTTGGTATCGGGTGCCCCTAACCCCAGCTCAAACCCTACCCTTTCTGAAACTTTATAGGATGTTGTCCCAGGACCAACAAGGATGTTGATCCAGGAGCATGTCCTACTTGGCACAGTCACTAGGTTAGGTTAGGTTATGTTATGTTTCAGTACTCAGATGTCTGGCAGCAGTTTTAAAGAGACAGTGGGCGGTGGAGTACCTTGTAGGTGGTGGCGTCAAGAGCACCGTCTGAGAAGGGGTGGGCCCTGGAGCCATGACAGTCGCGGTTGGCATAGAGACAGGAAATGAGCTGCCGGTATGCACTGATCCACCAGGATGCACATTTGTTTGGACCACAGGCATTGGTGCAATTTGAATGATCTGAAAAGCAAAGAAGCGCATGAGTCCGACTCATCTATTGTTAGTACAATAAATACTTCTTGTTCATGTAGCAGGGAAGTAACTCAAGTCAATCTACCTTACTTCCTGGTTGAGCCCCATTTTGAACAGGAAGGGGTGGGCCCACCAGGGAAATTGGCTGTGGAGGTGTAGATCCTGTTCCGACAGTTGCCATGGGAACAAGCATCTTGCTCTGCAAGACTGGGGACTGCGCTTGAACTGTGCAGAGAGATGAAAAGGACTGATATAGTAGAGACCGAGAATAGATTTGATGAAGTGCCTAATTTCCCAAACACTGTGTGCATAATCCTGATCCCTCTAAGCTTGAGAAACCTCATTAAATCTCTCAAAATCATGAATAAAAACATGCTAAAGCTCACTCTGACTTGGATGTGGACACATCACATATTTCCCACATGTTTTGAAATGAATTTCAGTGACTTCTTCATGAATGAGTCATTTGTGAACTGATTTATTGAAAAGAACCAATTCACTCACACATCAAATATTGGGCTTGGTTTACACAAAAAGCAATATCTAGTCCAGCGATTCAAAACCAGAGGTTTTGTTTTGTTAAACCTTTAAAGCAGAAACATAAAAATATTAGGGTTGTCAAAAGGTTTTTAAAAAAATGACTGTTTTTAAAAAAAAATTATTAAGCTAATTATTTTTTGTCATTGTTATGGAAAAAATATATAATAATTTTTTATTTAAACTAATACTTTTATTCAGCAAGGATACATTAAATTGACCAAAGGTGAATGTAAAAGATATTTGTAATGTTACAAAATATTTCTATTTCAAATAAATGCTGTTCAAATCAGCATATTATAATGTTTTCTGAAGGATCATGTCATGTGACACTGAAGACTGGAGTAATGATGCTGAAAATTCAGCTTTGATCACAGGAATAAATTACATTTCAAAAGATATTCAAATAGAAAATAAATTATTTAAAATTGTAATAATATTTATTTCAGAATATCATTATTTTCTGATCAAATAAATGCAGCCTTGGTGAGCATATAAAAGGCTTCTATCAAAAACATTACGACCCTAAACATTTAAACGGTAGTGTACTCTAATCAAACCAATATATATTTTCTAAACGAAGCAAAATTAAGTGAATAATTTGCATGCATTTTAAGATTTTAGGAATTTTCCAGGCCTGAAAAAACTCAAAACCGTGGGAACCCTGAATTTAACTTAAATCGCACTAGATTTCACCACAACAATTTAACCGCCTCAAATCTCACCTCCACCTCCTGGGCTGACTCCTCCCACTGCTGGGACTGAAGCATATCTTATCCCTTGTCCCGCCCCCGAATGTACACCATTGGCCAGGGTCACATGGGTGGGTGTGGCACTAGGCAGGGCAAGGACGCTGGAGGTCTGCTGGGAGGAGGGACTGTTGGGATTGGCAGTTGCAGGCAGAGTTGGAAGGATGTACTGCACCTGTGTTACAGGTTTCCCGCCACTAGAGGGTGTAATAGAGGCAGTGGGGAGGAACTGGTGATGAAGTAGGGGAAGGGGTCCTGCACTGTTACTAGGGGCTCCGTTGCATGGAGTAGGATGAGGTGGGGTGATGAGCTGAACAGTGGGCTGGTTTGGGAAGGCTCCTCCCAAGACTAGGCCAGTAACTAAGCCTCCTTGCCCATTAGGTTTGGGAGAAGAGGAGGAAAAGTACCCACCTCCTCCTGCTCCACCGGCACCTATCAGTAGCTTGGGCTTCCCGTCTGGAGGTAGGGTCCCATCAACTGGCTTGCTGGCGATGGGGATAGGGGTGCTAGTGATGGGTCGAACAACATTGGTCACTATGGTGGGGGCCATCCTTGCAGTGCCGTGTGAATAGTACGTCCCCGCATCATGCAGCAAAGTGGTTTTTATACTACTGACGGAGGCTGAGTTAATATGGAACGGAACATGCCCTCCTCCACCTCCTCCTTTGGGCCCCCCATTATTTAGCTCTGCACCACCCATCCCTCTCTTTTTCTTCTCCAGGTTCTCTTCACGCCCTTCTTTATCTTTGTTGCCAGTTGTGCCAGCCAGAGAGAGCGCCAAAGAGGAACGGACTACTGGTTGGAAGGTGCGCTGAAAGGAAAGGATCATTTGTTACATCAGACTACACTGATCATTTCATTCACGTTCTGATTAAAAATTAGGTTTGTGCTGGATTTGACGTTGATGACACTGTGTTGTAAGTTTGATGTGACAATTCAAATGTGGAGAATAGAGAATATGAGGATTTAAGTGAAAAACCACTTCAACTTTCTACACAAAACTAATGTATGGCTTCAGAGGACTTGGAATTTACATTGACATTACATTTATCCATTTGGCAGACGCTTTTATGCAAAGAAACTTACATTCTGATCAATAATAATTTTTATCAATTTGTGCGTTCCCTGGGAATTGAACCCATGACCGTGTCGTTTTTAGGGTCATGCTTTACTGTTTTATCTCTAGGAAGGCTCAAAGTGGAATGTTGTGCAAGAGTTATACGGACTACTTTTAACGTGCTTTTTTTTGGGTCCTTTTTGGATAAAATGTGATCACTACATATTATTTATGTATGGAAAAGCTGCATGAAAATATAATGAAAGGCAACAAATCTCATTTTCATTTAGGTTAACTTGATTTACTAAAATAACTCAAACTAATATAGATATAATAAAAATGACAAAAACAACAAAACGAATAAAAGTCAAATGAAAATGGAAAATATTCAAATAAAAACAAATACTGCTAAAAACTATAATAGTATTTTATTTATAATAAAATAACACTATTTTCTCATCCTCTTGCCATTCCAAACCAATGACAAAATTTTCATTTTTGGGTGAACTATACCTTTAAGGCAAAAATTTGGTCAGTGAACCATCTAAGAGAAAGAACGACATCTGCTGCCTTGTGGATATATCCATTGGCGTGGAAAACCTCAAGAGTAAACCCTGAAGAAATAGTGCTTACTTGCCAGACAAACAAAGATGCTGAAATAATCTGCTTTTATAAATAATAATTAGATGAGAGCAAATATCATTTCTGTTGCTATGGTAATAAGGCTTATCTAATTTAAAGCATATTCCTTAACAAGCGTTCCTTTCACCAATGAAATATAAACATTAACTTTGTTCTCTAGAGTCTAGACAACGTATCACAGCTGGATGAGGTTAGTAGCCAAATAACAGTGACATTTTTTCAAACATCAAGATTTTATCTTATAAATTGCACAAATGTATAATGGAAAAGTGTCAGTAATTTAGTAATTGTAGTACAGAATGTTTATTAATTTAAAAAATCCCCCCCAAAAAAACTGCATGTATATCAATTAAACAGAAAAAAATGTTTAAAATAGTTTTAGTTGAACTATAAATGAAACACTGTGGGATTGTCATGCCAGCTAGCCATGTGATGTATTTAGTGTTACCTTGCTGTCAGCCTCATCTGCATGGTCGTTTTCATCATCGCTGTCTGTCACTCTCTCTTTACACTTCAGGTCAATGGAGCCGTCTGCAAACGAGTCTTCTGTGAAGGAATCACACGTTAGCTGTGAGACCAGGGCTGGCATATCTCACACTCATGAGACTGAGAGAGCTGAGCAGTGAGGGGATTTTGCCTTTCCAAATTCAATGCATGATGTTCTGATGGCGGTGGTGCCACAGACTCGTGGGAGACACAGACTCAAGAATCAGTCAGGACTGACTAATAATGAGACAATGAGAATGGAACGCAAAACGCTTGTAAAATCAAAACAAAATAGCTAAAAGCATCATTTTCTAATGGTGGGTACATTCCACATGTAACAGCATTATCTACACATCAGGGGTTTTCAACAGATCCCAAAAAATTTGGTTTATAAAATTAATATTTGACATTAAAACGCCGGACAGATCATTAGTTTTTCCTTTTCTGAAGAAACTATTAGTGGTGCTTGCATATGCAAAACATGCCATAAAGATGCTACGGAGTTCTGCTAGGGCATTGCATGCTGTTCTGGGTTGTTGCTAGCTATATTATTAACAAAGATGTATATAATGCATGTACTTTACCTATGACATCATCATCCCCCTCTTCACAGATCACCATATGCTCTTCATCACTGGTCACATCCTCGCTCGGCTGTTGAGGGTGAGCAGGGGTGCGGGGCTGAAACAGACCCGCACTTTCCAGATCTGTCTCCTCCTCCCTCCTCTCCAGAGTGTGCACAGCGCTCTGGGAAAAGGCGCGGGGCCGATGAAGCTGCCCGCCCATTGATCCTCTGTGACCGTCAGATCGAGGGGAAGTCCAGCTAGGCCCTGCTCCTTTGTGGTCTGTCCCCTGAGATGTGGAATGGGCCTCTAGGGAGACAAAGAAGGTTAACTCTACATCAGTTGTGTTTCACACTACTGTGCACTCATAGTTTCACAAGACCAACAAACGCCCACGCATATTAACAAACACCCACACGGACCTGTGCTTTCAGACACGCTGCGCTCGCGAGCTTCTTTGGCCCCTGGAGTTCCCCGGCCCTCAGACAGGGACTTCCTCCTGTCCTTGTTACACCATTTCCAATCAGGGTGAGCACGGAAATGAGCCTCCTTCACCTAAAAGAGAACAAGAGAAATTTGTTAACAGGCTGAATAAATAAAGATTTTCAAAATGTTGGATCATGCACAATCTAATTTCTACTATTTTTACATGAATGTAATGTGCACAATTTTTTTAATTGATTAATTTCATAAATGTATCATTACTAAATAGTATTATTAAATGATAAATTATTATACTGTATATACACATTACTGTTTTACTTTTTTATATTAACGTTTGTAGCCAGTAAGATTTTTTTTTTTTTACTTTTTTTTTTTAAGAAGCAAACATATTTAGCAAAATAAATTTATTTAGCAAGGACGCATTAAATTGATCAAAAGCGACAGTTACGATTTTACATTGTTACAAAAATGCTGTTCTTTTGAACTTTCTATTCTTCTAAGTATCCTAAAAAACATGGTTTGGTTTCCACTAACATGTTAATGGGTAACTAAACCCCTGGTCAGAGCCTGACTCCACCCACTGGCAATATTTGAAAAATGCTGGGAAAGTGGGCGGAGCCCAGCGGAGATAGAGGGGATGAACGTATACTCTATCCTGATCGTTTTCAATACTCGCAATTCCAACTCCTGACTCGCTACATTGGTTTTGACAAAACAAGATGGTTTTTATACTGCCATGGACGTGGTAGCTGGTACCAAGGGCGTGGTAAGCTGAAACCTGCTTATGTCAGCTCTCACCGAAAATTCAACTGCAGTAGCCACCGTTCAACCTGAAGAGGGCAGCACTCAGACGTTTTTACACCATATATTGTAGAATTAAAGGAGCTGTATGTAAGATTGTGGCCAAAACTAGTACTGCAATCACTTTCAAATTACTGTAGAGTGGTGTATCCCCTCCCCCTCCTCCCTGACTCGAGGTTGCCAGATCGGCTGCAGGATCCAGCAGGAACGTGACGAGCTGCAGCTGTGGTAACTAGAGCAGAGCTGGCAACCCGGATGCCGCAACACTACTGACTTCGTGATTGGTAGATAGGTGGAGGGTGGAGCATCAGACCAAAACACAACATGACAACATCAACATCAGTTGAGGGCTGCAACTGCACTTTTTAAATGACAATATCCTGGCCAGACTACTGTTGTCAGTGATATAAGTATTTGAAATGTACATGATTTCTTAATGTCTAGTGACATTTCAGGGCCATTTTATGATTAATTGAAATACATTTCTTACATACAGCTCCTTTAAAGGGGTGATGAACTGAGAAATCAAATTTTCCTTGAGGTTTTGACATCTAAGAGGTCATCAAATTATAAGAATATCCTGTAAGTTTCAGAACTGAAAACGTCCTTGTTAGTCCAATAAAAGCTTTTATTGACACCAGGCTCAGCAAACGACTTGTTTTTCAAAGTGGGGAACTATGACGACAAAGAGGATAAAACACCACCCCCGCAGAAGAAGATCAACGCCTACTTCAACACGGCCGGTTTAGCCCCGCCCACCGATCCGCGCATTACACGAAACTCATTATAATATGCAAAACTGTTATCCACTCACAGCAGTGGGCGTTTACTTCCAAGTCTTCAATGCGAGACGCCCATAAAAACCGAGCGTTTTTGAGCTAGGCTCAAAACTAGGGTAGAAAATAGCCTATTACTTATTCATTTTGATGTTTTTGAATGTAAAAACCAAGCGAACGTCATAAGTTGACCTCAGACAACAATATAAAACAATTTAAAAAGCCAGTTCATGACCCTTTTAAAACACTTTATACCCAAATGTCAAAAAAGTTACTCGAATCAATGAACAGCACTAATAAAGCCCCAGTCTTACAGATCATTTAACTAAAAAAAGTTGGTTTAGTGTTTAGTTACCCTTTAAGCAATACAACTGTTGATGAGCAAAAGAAAACAAAAGCGTAATGTTTCAAAAACATTTAAAAAATCTTATCAAGTCAAACTTTTGAACTGTAGTCATCAAACTGGTCATCAGCCATAGTGCTTTCCAAATATTTGCATCTACAGTACGTAATGTATATTGACTGCTGTAAAACTCTTATCGGTCTACCACTAATTCAAATGCAAAAACATCAAATGTTTCAACTCCATGTAATAAATTTGTTTTAAAAAAAAACACAGATTGGCATTACATTTTCCTCTTGTGCAATATTTCACGAGTGTACCTGGAAGGCAAGATCATGATACTTCTGCTTCTCTTTGGGTCCCAACGCATACCACCACTCGCCCAGTATTTTACTGACAGTGCGGTTGTCCTGGTTGGGGTGCCGCTGATGAACCAGTGCCCGGTGCCTCTTACTAAAGATCATAAAAGCGTTCATTGGCCGTCTGATGTGGTCCTTTTCCCTCTTTGTGTAGGTTTGAGAGAGACAGAAAGAGAGGAGAAATTAGAAGCACAGAAGACAATAAGGGAAATTAATGGTTAAAAGTACAATGCTTAACAATTGTATCCTAAACCCCTTGACAAGGGTCTGGGGTTATTTTTCTGTCCTCGCTAAAAGCGAGGTGGAGAGGTACTTCCAGTACTACTCAAAGAAAACCAAGCAACTTAGAAAATTTCTGTATTGTATGTCACTAGCAGCCAACTAGGACAAAACCTCAGAATGAAGACACTAACAGGAATAGAAGACTGAAACTTACCTTCTTGTCAACATCTTTCGGGAGTGCACTGAGAGATTGTGTACGCCTTTTCACTGAGCTGATGGATGGAGCAGGGTCTTGAGCTACAACTGGAAAAAACCTGAAAAACATTTTTTTTTTAAAGTGAGAATTAGATTTTAAAAAATTAAGTGTGCAAAAAATAATCAGATGTAATTTTGTCTCAAAATGCCTTATCGAGGTGGATATCATTTTTGTTTTCAGGGGTGGCCTTTCTAACAATGTACATTGTATATATATGGCCGTGGCCAAAAGTGTTGGCAGTGACATAAATTTTGTGCTTCGTTGTTGTGGTGTTGATTCACATTGTTTCTAGATTGTTGTGCAGAGTGATCAAATACATTTTAAATCATTCCCAAAAGCTTCATTGGCCAAACAATATGAACTTTATTACAAAAACCCAAATTTGACTGTTTTCAGTGAAAACACAAATCACATCATCAGCACATGGGAAGTGTGATCAAGTACTAGTCAGGTGAATTCACTCTCATACTGATTGGATTATGAGAGCAGACTGATTGCTATTAAAGGAGGGAAGAAGTGCTTCCTATCATTGTGTTCTTGTGTTAGCAATTGTTGCCTCCAGAGAAAGATGTGCAGCGATTTTGCATCAAAATGGCCTCACTTGTCAGGAAATTGCTGCAAAGAATATTGCACATAAAGTATAATTTACTGGATCAAGAACTTCAAGGAGAGAGGTTCAACAGCAGAAGGCTTCAGGACATCCCAGAGTGTCTGGCAAGCGCCAGGACCGTCTCCTCCTGAGGATTCATCTACGGGATCATGTCACTACCAGTGCAGAGCTTACTCAATATTGGCAGCAGGTGGGTGTGAAGAAAAGGAAAACATCAAGGACAGACTGAAATTCTGCAGCAAGTACAAGGATAGGACAGCTGAAGACTGGTGCAAAGGTATTTTCTCTGATGCAGTTTGCTTACGACTGTTTGGGAAATCTGGAAAAAACAATTGTCTGGGGAAGAAAAGGTGAACTCTACCATTGAGTCCTGTGTCGTGCCAACAGTGAAGCATCCTGAGAACATTCATTTGTGGGGTTGCTTTTCATCTAAAGGAGGGAACTCTCTCACAGTTCTGCTCAAAACACTGCCATGAATAAAGAATGGTATCAAAACGCCCTGAAAGATGAATTTCTCCCAATTTGGTGATAATCGGTGCATTTTCCAACATGATGGAGCACCACGTCACAATTTTGTAACGCCATCAGCCAGGATTTGGGCCAGAAGCTGATAACCAGCATGCCAGAGCGAATTGCATAGGTTATGAAGAAGGGTCAACACTGTAAATACTGATTCTTTGCATATATTGAGAAAAAAAATTTTTTTCATTAAAAGCCTTTAATACTAATGAAATGCTTATCATCATTTTCCAGTATACCATAGAAACGTGAAAAAATAATCTACAAATACTGAAGCAGCAAACTTTGCAAAACACAAAATTTATATCACTGCCAATACTTTTGGCTGCGGCTGATCGGTGTGGGCGATATAGGCAGATTACATTTAAAAAAAAAAATAATAATAATTGGTTCATAATTATTATATCATAACATACATACTTTATGGGGGAAAGATTTTATTTGAAAAAATGTTTCGCCCACGACTATTAATACATTGACGAGATGCAAACGGATATTTACAGGTCGTCAGCATCACTCTCGGTCTCACTGTCGCCTCCTCTCTCCACGGGTGGGTCTTCAGCAGAAGGAGGGGGGCAAGATGGGGAACCTCTCTCTGGTGCTGCTGGATGGTCAACAAGTCCTTCAGTAACAAGGGCAACTCCACAGCGAGGTTCTGCAAGTTTATTCAGTTTCAAACTAAAATCAACTAAAAACATCAATGTATATTCTGAATGCGATTTTGTGAAAATTCTATGCAGTCATACAAGAAAATGTTGCAATGTCAAATTATAGTGTTCCATTTTTCTATCAAATGTTACCTTTGCTCTGATTTACAAGTGTTAGGCCATCTGCAGGCTGCGTGGACATTTTTGTTTGGCTGGTCTCCAGAAAAGGAACCAATGAATGCCACGCAAACACTGGCACAGAGCGGGGCTCCACGTTGGTCCAAACTAAATGCAGAAACAGACAAACCTTTTATATATACACACATGATTGTCTTGGAAAACCTACATTTCTGTTCTCGTAAGAGGGAACTGTTGAAACAGCACCTCTCTGTGTCAGAATGAACTTGAATGAAAGCCATTCATATACATATGTCTGTGTATCAATGAATGGTGACACTAAGAATGTGTGTAACATGTCCTAAGCATCTGTCATTCAGTGAAATATATATCTCAAATGAAGTACTCATGAGTATCAGGGAGGTCCAATCACCCTCTAGCCGTGCATGTCTGGGCAAGTTCCTGTGTATCATTTCAGACATGGTGCAACTGTCTAAAGAAACACTGACCCTGAAAGCACAGAGCATTCTTCACTACACACACCCAAACACACCTGCTGCTGACCAGCATACCAAAGTTGATCTGAGCCCCCCTTATTTTTACAGTTTACCAGTCTAATAGGAAATAGAAAGAGTTTGTTGGTGTCCTCCATCTTACAAAACAGCATATTCTAGCCTGCACAAATGAATCCAACAAAATTTTTAGTTTTCTCTTTCGTAATATAAAATATAAACAAACTAGGCAGAAAATGAATATAGATAAGATCAATGTGGAAAGAACATTGAAACTGACTTTGTTATCTTGGGAGATCTGAGCAAAGTGTGTGACATTTATCTTCTCTGAAAAACTAGAGACACGCATGAGAATCTTTTTCAGGAGAAAAAATTAGGCAGAGAAAGAACTTTGACCGTGATATTTGTTTTCAGGATTTAGAAAGTTCAAAAGAACAGCATTTATTTGAAAAAGAAATGTTTTTGTAACATTATACATATTTTTTTGTCACTTTTGATCAATTTAATGCATTGATCAAATGCATTGCTGAATAAAAGTATTAAAGGGGTCATGAATTGAGAAATAAAAATGTCCTTGATCTTTTGACATATAAGAGGGCATTGTGCTATAAAAGTATCCTGCAAGTTTCAAAACTCAAAACTTCCTCATTAGTCCAAAAACAGCTTTTATTGAAACCAAGGTCAGAAAACAACTCGTTTTGGATTTTGTCACATTATTACAGCATAATGCGAGAAAAAATGACTCTGCAGAAGATTAACACCTACTTTTATATCATTGCTTCTTTAGCCCCGCCCACTGATTCGCACATGTCATGTAGTCGTAAATACGAGAGATGCAAACAGGATTACTCCAGCAACAAAATTACAAGACGCTTTGCAGTGCCAAGTTGTGTAAAAACACAGTCTTTGCATTGCCTTCCTTGTGACCCTGACATTAAGAAAGCGTGGGTGAACTTTTTAACGAAGTTCCAGTCAGATCGCATCAGTAAGACACTGTTCATTTGTTCGCGTCTGGGTGAAGCATGGCGCAGAGACTGCGCCGCGAGTTGTGTTGACAGAGTTTAGTGATTTGGAAGAGAAAACTTCAGAATAATGTCACAGAGTTCATTCATAAACGTTCTGTGAACAACACACTGCATCCGTGTACCTTCGAGCACATGCACACTTTGGTCAGAGTGGTAATAATGCGATTAAGGTGTTTACATGCCATCAGTAAGACATAACAACACGTTTCATTTAGAACACGACACTGCAAATGACAATGTGTACGTTTTTCACTTTATCGAAAAGGATGAACTATGAAAAGCCAATAGGAACGAGTCCCAGTGCGATAAAAGATGGTACATTCATTCATAATTCCGTTTACACGAAACAAAGTCATCCTTTGTCAGTTATAACTGGTAACTCCAAGTACTTACTTATTTTAAAATGCAAAACTGTTGCCCAATCATAGCAGTGGGCGTTTACTTCCGAGTCTTGAATGTGGCACACCCATCAAAATGGAGTGATCGAAAGAGAGGGTCAAAAACAGGATAGAAAATAGCTTATTACTTCTAATTTATTATTATTTTCGATGTAAAAATCTTGATAACATTATAAGTGGACCTCAGAGAACATTATAAAATAAAAAAAAAGCAGTTCATGACCCCTTTAATTTATCAACAAAAAATATACATATTACACCTTATTTTACCCTAAACTTTTGAACAGTAGTGTTTAACCAAAACTCTGTGGATGACTACGCTGATCAATAATAAGTAGTAATTATCAATAATAATTAGTGTTCTAATTGTTTTTTATTTATCTTTCATGACTCTTACCAGTGCCAGGTCGTCCCATGATGATGTCTTTGCGAGGAGCAGGGTGAGGGGACTCGGCTGGCAAGATGAGGGGCAACAGGGCTGTGGGTGAAGGATGACAAGCCACAGGCTGTGGAAGAGCACCACCGGCATCTCCATGGCCACCTGATTTCCTCTCTTGCTCTTTACTTCCTGAGCCAGATATTGCCAGGACAGGTCCAGTGTTTGCATTAGAGGTGGACACATTTAAAGTGGAAGAGTTTGAATGTGTGGGATGTCCAGGAGCCACAGGTGTCAATGACTGAGAGGAGGTCACCAGGACTAAGGTGGGAGCAGGATTGCGGAGGAGAACGGCTCCGTTGGTGGCAGCACCGTTAATGGGAACGGGGGCCTGAAGACCCACAGCATGGTGAGGAGGCTGGCTGTGCTCCCTAGAGCGTGAGCTTCCTCTACGGCTCAGGGGACTATCACTGAATTTTGCCAACGGCACATCTGGGTTACGAACAATGACAGGTGAATCGCGTAGGGGAACGATACGACGTGGATCTTGAGGCAGGGGTGAGGGTGGTGTGGGAGAAACCAGCATTGGGGGTGGAGTGGAGGCAGCAGAGGATGAGGGTCGACTTGTGATGTTCCTCTGTCGAGGGAAAGACAGAGAAGAGGGGGTGGTAGGCTGGCTTTGGGGGGAAAGAACCCTGAATGCTGCTGCATTGAGGCTGAGGCTGGGGTCATTGAGTTGGGGATCAGATTTCGCATAGTCTGATGCACTGGGCAGCGGGGGGTGTGGGGCATCCAACTTGCGTTTACTAGGGCTCATAGGCACAGTAAACGTGAGGTTGGTCTGAAAAGTGGGCACAATGCCAGAGATGTGGCGCTCACGTTCTGTGCCGGGGGTGCCCGGGATCTTTGTGCCACTGAGGTGACGAGGGCGGCGAGGGGTCAGAGGTGAAGGTGCTGTGATGGGGCTAAAATTAGCGGGGCGGAAGCCAAATAGTGTGGGTGAGGGGGAAGGTGCAGGGGAAAATGGTGACTGATTGGATACGGGTGAGAATGAGGGCGTGCATGAGCGAGAGCTGCCAAGTGAGACCAGCATGTTTGCAGCCTCGCACTCATCAAAGTCAAAGCGGGATAGTTCACGTGGCAGTTCTTGCGGTATGAGAGAAGTCATCACCAGACGTGGTCGAGAGTCCCCGCCACGACTGCTTGCTTCACTGCTGTCTCGTGAGTTGTCGTCCCAGTCATACTCGCTGCTGGTGCGTCCACCTAAACGAAGGTCAGGTGTGAGAGTGCCCGTGCTACTGGCGCCACTTCTTTCTCGGCCCACCCCGCCTCCGGCTTCCATCTCCTTGGTGCGCATGGAGAGATGTCGTGAGCAGTAGCCGCGGCGCTGTGACTCCTTTGAGCAGCCTTCACGTGAACACAGTCTGCGCCACTGCTTGCCGTTGAACTTCTTGCGTATGCCTGTAGGGGTGCATACCACATCGCCCTTCTTGTACTTTTGTTGAGCGGCGGTGAGGGGTGTGCGGGAACGTGACGAGGAGCACGAGGATCCAGAGCCTCCCCCTGATGCACCATGCGAGTTGGAGCTGGGGGTCTTGTCCAGGGAGCCTCGAGAAGAGCTTGGAGGCAACGGAGGCAGCTGGGGTGTGGAGGAGATGACTGCAGCACCTGTGGCTGAATCTAGGCCCAGGAGCATAGGGGGGTGATTTGGGTGAGGAGCAAGGGGCAGATGGGGTGCAATTGGGGTGCTAAGCCCTCTCCCGGGGCTGAGGTAGTTTGGTTTAGAAAGAATGTGCCGATGCTGAGAAGAAACACCAAGAGCTTTGCTACCCATGGCTGCAGTGATGCCGCCATCCCTTAGCTGACTGAGACGGCTGACCTCCATGTCCTCCTCTGGGGTGGATGGATGAAGAGGATGATGCTTGTGCCTCTCCCTTTCGCGATCTTGTTCCCTTTCTCTCTCTAAGTGCATATGCAGGTCTCTCTCCTGATCCTTCTCTCTGTGATGATCATAGTCTCTGTTTGGGGCTACACTGAATACAGACGTGATGGCAGTGTTAATGGCAGAAGACGAAGAATGGGATGAGGTGAAAGGTACAGTGACAGGGTGCAACAAACTCTGAACTTTAAACGCTGTCAGTCGAAACACCTCCATGTCCTCTCTTTCCTCCCATTCTCGTTCTCTTACCCTCCTACAATCAATCCCTGGCTCTGCTGGCTGGGGTGGCTCTAAGTCCCAAGGAGGAACCAGGAGGCGAAGATTTTGTCGTGATACCCAAACGGCCTGAGCACTGATGGCCCTTCCATCATCCTCTACAGCTCTCCTCTCCTTTCTCTCATCAGATAGTTCCTCCCGTAGCTGGACACGGTATGGGAAAGAAACAGCTGGATGTTGATCTACTTGAGTGATTATACCTTCTCTGTAACACTGTTGGGCTCCCTCGCTGCCCTCATCACCACCTTTAAAGGGGACGCAAACTTGTGTGCCTATAGCCACCGGGGCAACACCAGGAGGTGACGCATCTAGAATGAGATCAACAGAATCAGTAGCCACTCGAAAAGGGTACTTGCATATGGTCTTTTCTCCATTTAGCTGCACCTCCACACTCCCATGCGCCTCACTAACTCTCCGTACGACACCAGTGCGAAACACTCCTGACATACCCCGACCCCGATCGTGAGGCCAGCCTTCCCCTAATCTGGGACCCTGTCGGGCCAGAACTCTCTGATTCTTAAGACCTTTAGCGAGGACTCCGGCTAACCCAGATGACAGGCTCTCCTGTGAAGGTGTTGTGCTATGTGCTTGTGGCTTTTGAGAGTTGGAGTGAGAATCACATCCTGAAGCTGTTACTTCTAGTTCGGCCGAGTGTTCGCTGGCCGTATCGGTTGAAGAGCAACGCTGTGGGCTGGATACGCTCGTCCCATCCTTCTCTCCGCACTCACCTGCAGTTCTTCCTGTGGGCCCCATTATGTTGTTGTGTCCATACTCAGTGATGCTGTCCACAGCCTGCTGGCTTTGACTGTGTGGGTCTGTGTGTGCAGCAGAGGCAGCTGGGACCTGGTTAGCACCAGTACTATTGTGAGAGCTGCTGCTGCTCTGTGGGGGTGTGCTGGGAGTGTTGGCATTGCCATGGTTTCCGGCACAGTGCTCCGAAGTGTATTTCTTCTTGGGCACGCGGGCCTTAAAAGTGGCCGTCTTACGATTAGACGAAGGGTTGGGGCTATTGCTGGCACTGGTCGTGCTACTGTTGCTGTCACTCTGTGTTCCAGCAGACTTGGAGTTCCCGGGGGGTTCATCCGTCTTCCCAAAATCCACTGCTATATTGAGGACCCCATCACTGTGGATCCCCTCCTTTTCTGGAGACCCACTTCTTCTCAGAGGCCCCTCCTGTGATGAGTCAGAATTTGAGGAGATATGTCTCTTGGGAGAGGTAGTTGAAATTTGGGGTATTTCCTCAGTTTCTCTCTTCTCTTCCTGTGGGCTACTATCCACCATCCTCTTCTTAACTCCCTTGGCACGAGTGGAGGGGGGCGACCGCCTTTCTTGCTTTTTAATGGGCTTCATTTTTTTTGCTCAAAGAGAGTCTCTAATCCTCCTGATTTCCTGCAAGTCCCAGCCTATCGATATCTTCCACTCTGTTTCCTTCTTGCATCCCGCCCCTTCTCTGTCTTTTTCTTCTGTTCTTGTACAAGCCTCTTCCTGTTTGCGATATCCTTTCTTTCTTTAATTAAACCCTGTAATAAAACACAGCACATGAGATGGATCAGTTTATTATTCAGACTTATAATCCGCATAGAGAGAATAGGGAGTATAGAATACAGCATAATTAAAAAACAAGTTAGAGCAAGGAGATAATGCTTTGAGTTTAGTGCCTAATCTAACATCATAAGAGTGATATTATATACCTTAGCCTTAGAACGTGGATATAATACAACTATATACTAAAAACTTTGACAAAGACGGAATACAAAGAAAAATGCTTGCCCAGACAAGTCACACACACTTTGGTTTTTTGGCTGGATCGGAGGAGGCGGGGGAATTCCTTGTTCAGTGGTATTTCTGTGACTCTAAGGCTCTCTCTCGCTCGCTCTTTCAAATGACCTTTTTACATTCGTTACAAAGGCAATCCACCCCTACAGTCCTCACTTCCTGTCACAGCACTACAACATCTCAATGTACAATACCAACCTTACACATTACTACTTACACGTTCTTTCCTCCTACCAAAACACCTTTTCTTCATCATCCAAACTTACAGAGAGGATTGTGTTTAAAACCCAATTGAGATATTTTATCAACATTAATGTTTGCATAAATATATTTAGACACTTGGATGGAGCTACAACCCAGTTTAAATACAGATTACAAATAATCCAGTGTAGTCAAATGAGAATTAATTGAAGATTTGAATATCTCAAAAAATGCGTGCAGGGTTTATGACTATACAATATGACTGACTGCAGGTTTTTATTAAATTAAGGATGTGTATCTAATTTATATTATGGTTAAAGGTCAGGACATAAATTACCTCTTTTGATGAACCAATGCATGCTCGAATTGACGAATATGTAACAGATCATTACAGGTCCGCAGTGCAAAACTGTCCCATTCTTGTGAGCAGAACCCACAGAAACCACACTAGCATAGACAAGTTTGCAGGCAATATGCAAATCTGATGCAGTATATTACCTTCAGTAAGAAAATTATATCATAAAACACTTTACTAAGACCTGTTAAGACTTATATTGCCTGGGCATGTAGATGAGTATAGGTTTTGGGTCACTAAACTATTCCAATGCATTTAAGACAACACAAAGTGTAGCCTAAATAATGAAAGATTCTATTTAAAGGTGCACTCAGTTTTTGTCTCAAACTGGCTGGATTGGGGTTTATACTGACATCACTCAATATTTATTTATTTATTTGCTTATTTATTTATTTTTACTCAACTCATTAGAAGTCTTCTAGGGTCCTGAGATCTGTACCTGACTGAATCGTCCCGAATCCAACAAGCATTCAGTTTTAAAAAAATAAAAATCGACCTGAGACAGACCCAAGAAAACTAGACTCGAGACCCAAGCCATGTTGCCAGATAATGTAGCCTATAATTTGTCAAAATGTGGGAGAATATGTTTTCCATGGATTTTCACAAATTGTTTTATCTGAGGAAAAACATCAAAATACAGTTATGGTTTAATTTTCGTTAGTTTTATTTAGTTGCTTAGTTTGACATCAACTGCATTTAGATTGTTTTCTGTAATCGATATCTGGCAACAATACATCGATTTTATGCTTGGGCAAGCAATTCCAAGTAGATAAGCCGCTCACAAGCTTTATGTTGCACCTCAAATAATTGACAAGGACGTTTATACTATGGTTAATATTCAAAAGTAGGGCTGCAGGATATCATTTTATCATCGATATCACGATGTTTGCATCCGCGATGTGAAGTATATGGATCGTAGTTGATCTGTGATCCATACGGCCCAGCTGCACCCCGGTTTGTAAGGCATGTGATTCGCGGATTAATTATATTTAATTTATACAGTAAAGAAGACTATGCACTATGTTATTTTACATTTGATTATTCATTTACTGTATCGGAATACTGATTTAGCCCTACCTGAAAAACAAAGCACTGCTTATTTGTATCTTTGCTCTATTGTATTTATCTATCCTTGAAATTCGTACATTATTTTTCTATGCAGATGTAGGCTACTACCCTACAAAATCACCCCAATCAACCTAGAATTGTTCAATCTTTAAAAATAGAGCTATTCAAATCATCTGGTGAAATTGGTTTCATATCGCAATATATCACATAAATTGCAAAAATTCTAAATATCACAATGTCAGTTTTTTCTAATATCGTGCAGCCCTATTATTAAGCAAATCCCTGCACTCATTCTTCTTATTGGAATTTAAGACTGATGTAAGACTGATCACTTCTTGGTTAACTGCAAGTTGGTCAAACTAGTTCTTAAGACACATAGTGGCTAAGTTTATGCAGCTGGCCCCAGGTCTTGGGTTGGACTTGGACCTCAGGTTTTGGATCAAAGTGGACACTTGAAGACCACTACAACTTATCCTTAGAGTATGTTTACACGACAACAATGTACTTAAAACAGAAACGTTTTTCCTCTGTGTTTTTCGAGTACAGACCACAACACTGTAGTAAAATAAGCTTGCACAATTTACATAGGAACGCGCCCAGGGACAACGGAAAGGACATACGGAGTGCAGCAGCTTTCGTTTCTGCTCTGATAGCTGCAAGACCATGTCGAATGCTGTGAGTGTGTTAGAAATCAGGAATGGTAAGGGGAACATTATGCTTGGTACGTTTTTCGTCTTCAACCCAGACTTGGGTCTCCAGCCAACAAAGTTTAAATCCTGTCTGGCTAGCGCATCTTAATACCAGGTGTAAAGGCCATAGACTGAACAATTAATACACATGCTGATGAAGTCCCTGTTTTAAAAAATTGAAGAATTTACATGAAGATGATCACGGTTTTCAAAAACTTGCACTTTTAAACCCGTTTTCAAAAGTTTGCGATTTAAGGCCCTCAAAATGGCGTTTTTGTGTAAATGAACAGCCAAAACGCACCACAAATTTGGGCTAGTTTGGGGTCAGTTTTGCAGTTTTCAAACATTTACATTTTATAGGCTAATTGGTTAACAAACAAAACCCAAATGTGCCTGTAATCAGTCATCATTACATTACTAAACACTAGTGATGTATGACCGGTCTCGAGACCACTTTTACGTGGTCTCTGTCTTGTCACGGCCTTGACAGTCTTTGGTCTTGGTCTTCTCTTGGTCTTGGACCTCTCAGTCTTGGTCTCGCTGTCTCAGACCGACAATACTACAATATCCACGACGATATCCGCAACGGATTGAAGCACGCGTCTGAGTGAAGACAGTGCGGTGTGCGCGAGCCACACGAGAAAACACCGTATCCACGCCACTGATCGCAGCACTTTAATCACTTGATTTAAAAAACACATATCATGTACAGTTTTTGATGTATTAATATTTAGTAAAACACATATCAGGGACATGATGGATTTTAACTTCATTCAGGAGATTTTGGGTAACTGCACAACTGACAGATGACTTTGAGCGCACAGCCAACGGTGTGCGTGTGTGTGTAACCATAGCGACAAAACAACCAACTTCAACTTTGCACTTAAGCTTATAATTTCGTTATTAAAAATATAATTATGTATTTAAAAGTTGCAGAATGGATTCATTTGGAGACTTCGAAATCGGCAGAGATAGGCAGGCAATGCAAAACAAAAAGTTATTGCTTAGCTTCAACAACACTAGTCTGTTTTTTGGTCTCGGTCTTGGTCTCGGTCTTGGTCTGTCTTGGTCTTGGTCTTGTCTTGGTCTCGATACCCTCTCGTCTTGGTAGTGTCTTGGTCTCGGTTTAGGCGGTCTTGACTACAAGTCTACTAAACACACACGCCCACTGTAGAGTCGGCCTGGTGTTGGTGTTGACATCGCCAACAAGCCTGCACTTTTAGCCAATCAAGAGCAATAGAAGGCAGGCGTGATGATTCGTGATGACGTGAAGGTTTTAGCGCAATAAGGGATCCAATTTTGAACTTGTAGGTTCAAGTGACCTCTATGCCAAAGTGGCAAAAATATAAGTTGTAGCTACAGTAAAGCGTGGGAGAGTGACCCAACTCTCAAACGTGGAATACACTTGTGGTATATGACTCAAAGGCTCTTTGTAAATATAACTGTAACTCTGAGAGCACAGTTGAATGACTTAATTGAAATTGAATATGGCACTACTCTTGTCCATCATTATGTGCACACTGGCCTGACTAGGACATCTGTGACTTCTACACCGTTCAGACTGCACTCTGGTATACTCGTCCCCGACAGCTGCTGTAAGAGGTTTGAATCAACAATTAATCAGTTTTTTAGACTGCAAAGTTCTATGTTGTGTTCTACAATGTGTACTTCAAGAAAGATGTAGTGTAGTTCATTTTGAAGTTAAAGCGTATTATTATTATTGTCGTTCACACAAATGACAAATTTTCAGCTTTTATGGTGTGCGAGGGTTTAAGTCTTAACATTTTTGTCATATTTGCTAAATTTGTTTTACTGTATTTGCCATGTTTTGATCCGTTTTCCTGCTGTATTGTTCTCCTGGCAGGGAAATTCATTAATTTGTATCATTTTATTTTGTCATCATTATTTAGTTTGAAGGAGGTAAATGGTCTTTATAAACCTTGGTTGTGATGACAATAGAATTCCATCACATTCATTTGGCAGTGAATGTTTCGGGCGGGTTTTGGAGAGTTTTTGGGCTGGAAATCATTGACCCAATCTGGCAAAACTGGTGGCGACCCGCGTCATGTAGGGGATCTCATTTATAACTTTAATGATTTTGTAAATCAAACAGTATATCATGGCACTAGCAACACCATGGTGTTTGATTTAAAGGGATAGTTCATTTACTCACCCTCAAGTTGTTATGAGTTTCTTTCCTCTGTTGAACACAAAATAATATATTTTAAGAACGTTGATAACCAAACAGTTGACGGTAGCCATTGACTTCCATGGTAGGGGAAAAAAAAATACTATGGAACTGTCTGGTGGTTACATTCTTTAAAATATCTTATTTTGTGTTCAACAGAAGAAAGAAACTCATACAGGTTTGGAACAACTTGAGGGTAAGTAATTATGGGGAAAAAATCATTTTGAGGAGAACTATCCCTTT